TCACGTTTCCTACCTATTCTGTACCTTTATATTTGTTATTGGCAGGCGTTTTATCTCTCTTATTTAGCTATACAGACAACATATAGCTAAATTGAAAATATATTATGTATTATAATTAAATAACATATATCATCATCATTTCAGCCTGTTTGAGTCCACTGCTTAACATAGGCAATAACATGTATACTATGTAATAATTATTTAGTATATTATGTAATTATTTCATACATAGTATTGTTAAGTAACGTATAAGGTGAATCGCCTGAAGCGAGGAACTTACAATTTGATTCGCAATTGACCGTTCGATCGATATGTCCACCACCCCTTCTTCACAATAGGGAACTAATTCTTTTAACGAAACCATATATATCTCACTGCGAATCACGAACGTTCTTTATCGAGTGATCTTTATTTATCCTTAGGCAATATATATGAGCGAATCTTTGAAACGATCAAGCCTGTCAGTTGAAAAGATGGCCTTTGTTAAAACTCATCGGACTTTGTTGCGCAATCTCATTCCAAGATATCTAGGTTCGATCAATTCGCCGAGCTTTAGTCTTGTTTCGTTTGATTGTTTCGTCTTAGGTCTGTATGTGATGGCTGAACAACTCTATGTAGATTGCATTATTCTAATCCTGAATGCGGTACCGGTATCAAAAAGCTATACACTTATTATTATATTTATAATAAAGCTGACGAGTTTGTTTGTTGTGCGCGCTAATCTCTAGAACTATCAGTAGTATATGAAAAATCTTTTCGCATGCACGGAACAGCTAGTGGATAAATAATTGTTTTGATTTGTTTATCAGTTTCATTCTCTGTATATTCATTCATTCATCTCACCATTCTACCTTGTCAATTTTACTGCTGAATGCATACATCGTCCTTGTCTTGAGCCACCTGGATCCGTCAGTATTCCACAGTTCAGGCCGTCTTGTTTCGTTTATTAGTAATTCAAAATCCTAAATAGAGTTCGACTTGTTTAAAGTTTGGCAAAAGTACTTGCACTGCACCTTTGTCGTTGTGGGTATTAAAAAAAGGCAGGTAGTCCGCTTACCCGTATGCAATATCCCTTAATAATTAAAGGAAAAAAAAACTTCTCTCTTCTTCAGTCTCGCGAAAGGGCAGATCCGTCTGGAGAAGTATCATGACCTCGTAGATGACCAGCGTGAAGACGAAGTGTTACAAAATTGTTTTGTTTGGTGAGTAAGGTACTTAGGCGTCTTCAAGGCAAGAGTGAATAGGTTTTTACTGAGCTAGCGCGCTTACCATCAACGACTGCATCGACTTACCATCAGGTGGGATGGCAGTCAAGTGCTGGCCAGTTATGAATTTAAAAAAAGGTAACCGTTCCCCACTTTGTAAAAAGGTGTTAACGGATTCAAAATCCTATGGGTGTTAAATATTTCTATGGGCGATGGTTTTCTGGTGGTTCACCAGCTAGCTCGCTTTTCGTCTTCTAACATAAAGACTTGTTGATTTAACGTTTGTATCGGTCATAATTTATTTTTACTACGTCTATCATATATATATATTATGAAGATACACATTATATAGTCTTTACCAGCGGCAGTGAAATGAAAAATTTATTCTGGAATTATGTAACATTTTAGTATCTATTAAAATAAATGCTAATCATAGTGTAATATCAAACTCTATACGTCAATATATATTTAAGTTTTTTTTTTTAGTATACCTTACATGATGCGGATGAATTTATTAACATACATTTACACCCAGCTTCGATTTCAAGTTTTTTACCCTATTTTAATATCAAAATGATAATAATGATTTCTTGTATTTACACGAGTATTGTACATTTATAGTTAAAATTTTGCGTTTATGTAAATATTTACCAAGTTGAATTTGAAATTTAATAACGCAAAACATTTAAGACGCGTTAAATATTGTATAAAGTTCTATTTAATCCGAAAATATTGTTTAATTTAACAGAAACGTTAAGAACAATGTCAATAATTATTGGTGAGTGCTTCAGTTATCATAAACATCTTTCAAAGTAGAACCAAAACAATATCGTGCGATAAAGTCAACACGATATTGTTTTGTCAATTACATTTGTACAAAAATACAGCGCCATCTTCCGATGATGAGGGAACAAAGTTTAATAATAACACATAAATATATTAATTAATATACGAATTAGTTGTTATTTAATGCAAATTAATTATCATAACAAAAAAAATATACCTAAACCTCGTTTTTATCGCTATCATATGCAGCCCGGATAGCTCAGTCGGTAGAGCATTGGACTTTTAATCCAAGGGTCCAGGGTTCAAGTCCCTGTTCGGGCGGGGTTAACTTTTTATTGTTTCCAGTTAAATCTTGCGCCATTTCCTGCGTTAAGAATTTTTTATGATTAAATAATTCAAACATTGACTATTACTAATTTCAAATATAACTTTTTACGAAAAAATTGTGTATTTTTAATACATAATGATAGTTTATGGATTCTTGTTGCGAACGAATAGATACAGTATTAATGACGTCGCATTTTTTGTTTTTCAAATCACATGACTGGAATCATTGTCTCTTCCGGCCTTACTTACAGGACGAACTTTGTCTAATAATTTCTGCAACTGATTGTTAATGTATCAATTTGCAGACAATACCTTATGGTTTCCAGCAACAGAAAAAAACAGTAAACCCGCGCTTCGTCACCTGTCGCAATGTTATAGACAGCCGCCACAATTGGCGTGGGGAGTAATGAACTTGCTTCTTGCGCCAGAGGGTGTCAGTTCGATCCCCACTACTGGAAAAATATTGTGTGATGAACGTAGTGTTTGTCCAGAGTCTGCGTGTTTATATATGTATAATATGTATGTATTTACATACGAAAAGTATGTTTAAGTATGTTTATCAGTTTTCCCGTACCAATAGTACAAGCATTGCTTAGTTTTGTCAATGGCAACGGCTGTCCTTCATTAAACTTCTTATCTATTGACAGCACCACTTGATAGGTAGTTATTTCTGGTTTTCCGTTAAATCGTCATCATCTTCACCATTCCCTAAGACTTCCGAACTCATTCTCACTTAGCTCATTCTTAATTATAATTAAGTACGTTTTCGCGGACTATCATTTTCGACGACAAACTCGAGCGCCGTGGGTTCCGTACCTACGCATTATACCGCAATAATAAAATTTGGTTGCCTTTACAATTTAGACGGAGAGACGGTCAAGAGAGTGATCCTTTTTTTTAAGGATGATGATCTTATAACTTCATTTTAAGCAAAATTATAAGGGATCCTTTTTTTACCTTTTTAGGTACGGAACCCTAAAAACCGTATCAATATTGGGACGACATTGGCTTCATCGCCATCAGCAATTGAAGTTCCTGGAAACTCACTTCATAGTAAAGCTCCCCGGAAAAAATTAAAAATAATATCGATTTTTTTATATGATGTTTGATTCTCTGATCGTAATCTAAAAAAAATATTTCTAGCACTTCTTCCTTAACGTGTTTTTCAAGCCAGGCCGGCAATGCAATCGAATTACTTTAATGACTAAAAATAAGACGACTATACTGCGGACAAGTATACAAATTACGTTCACACGATGTAAACTTAACACAAATACTCTAAATGGATCCTAAGTAATTCGGAAGTGCCACATAGATCGAAGAAGAGCATTTATTATTTGTCATAATTAAAGAAATATCTGGAGGACTTTGTTTCCAATACACATTCTGTATTTAAAAGCCTTATTATGGCCCTTCAAAAAACTACTGGATGAGAGTGGCAAAGATATTTGGAATGACCTACAAAACCAGTGGTTAATTCCAAAGTTATTTTACATATTGTCTATATTAATATTAAAGAATATTAACACTTTGTGAGCTTATGTATAATGAGAACAACTTCACCTTTTCGAAAAATTTATTAACAACTAGTAGTAGTACTCAAAGTATGTAGTTTCTTACGCGAATAATAGAGAATGTTAATTAGGATTACTTTACACGACATATTTTTTATTTACACGTCGTTCCTAACTCACTACTATGTCCACAGTAAAGAGAGGATTGATTTTGCAGTAAAACTATTTTTATTAAATTAATTACAAAATATTAACAAGAGGCGCAGCATTTAGATATTCGTTATTAGCCCGGAAAGCTAAGTCCGCAGAGCATTTAACTTTTCCTTTGGAGCATGGAATCCAAAAGTCCAAGGTTTTGTCGCGTACAACAAAACGACTATTTAAAACAACCCACCTGTTGTTTTAAATAGTCGTTTTGTTGTACGCGTTATTTAAACGCCACGAGCTTTCGATAAAAAATAAGGAAACTCAAAATTGCAATTAAAACATTTTGAATCACGACGGTGATAAGTAACTGGAAATATTGTTCCCTTTTGAAAATTGGGCTCCGGCTACCTCACTCACCAGATGAAACGCGAAAGTATTTGTCATACTTCCACTTTACGCTGCTCTTCTGTGAGGTCGCGGTACTTACCCGGACGGGCCTGCCCATTCGTGCAACAGCCGAGGCTGTTGCGTGGCCCTAATAATATGTAATGGCTATTAATAATGTATATATGACTCCTTGCCTACTTATAGGGGTTAACGTCGTTAGGTGCTCATTCCAGAATAGATCAAGTCCCAACTCACCTCGGATCAGTATTCAGAATATACTTTTAAGAGAACTGTAAAATATGCTAGCTTCATCCACAATTATTTTTAACTTCATACTTAATAAGCTTGAGTGAATTAAGTCCATGCTAATGTGGCTTTTCATTAAGTGAATAAATTTTCAGAGTTGTTAAAACAAAACAAATCCATTAATTTATATCACCTGAGTGTAATAAAACTTTTTTAATTCTATTTAGGCATGCGCCCATACCACAATCTAAATATATCAACGCAGACCACAATTTAGGAACCCAAAAGAAGTTAAAATAGGGAATTCAACAGAGATGAGAGAATAAGAGCAAACTCACAAAAATTCAAAGCTCAAAAATAAATATATTCGGTAGTAGATGAATGTCTAATAGTTGTAACCAGTTCTATCATTAAAGCTAGATCGACGGTTACTGCTGCTAAATCCAGGGAGACGTGCAGCGGTCGGCGGCAAATACGCCTTAGTGACGCCATTACTCAGCTGGTCCCGACGATTGGGCCCGTTGGCAAATTCGGATCCCGTTCGGTAAGGCTCGGGGCTGAGAGCGGAGTTGACCACGACTGCGTCGTCGTCTGAGTTATTTACATCGCGGTTCGCGTCGCTGTGACCAAAGCTTGGGGTCTGGTATCCGCCGTCACTGCCCGCGTATTTTCCTTCGCTGTAGGACCCTGAAAGTTGCATATTATGAAATACATTGATTAACAACGAACTAATTTTTTGTAACACGTTATGATTTCGGTGCATAGACCTCTTTCGTCGGGAATTCTGTTCTAGAATAAGCTCTGTTCTTGAATTTACATGTTAGGTTGTAATGGCTCGGTCCTAACGCTGCCATTATAGCTTATTGCGTATATGTACGTTGTTTTGTCACTATATACATTTGCATATACTTTTTTTGCAATCATGGTTATTTTAGCTGTTTCTCGCTATTTTTAGAACTATTTAATACTTCTGGTCATGGTAATTGGCTATCTGTTATAAGTAAGATAGTTCATTTTTACATTAGATGTTTATATCGCGTGAGGGAATGTACACACTAAATGAATGAGCACTTAAAATAACGAATAATTTATCGAAATACAGTCTTCAGCTATGATAAAAGATAAGTTACCATCATCATAAACGCCAGCAGCTTCATCGCGCGCGTTCTGTTCCAAAGCTAGCTGAATTTCTTCCGGAATGGGGGGTGGCGTAGGAAGATGATCACCTTCGGGGACGAAGCCATTGCGACCAGCCGTGTATCTGTAAAGAGTATGTTTAAATGTGTTATTGATATTTGCATATTTCCTTTTCGATGCAATAGGGCCCATCATCAATTTTCAAAAATGACCTTTTATTTTTGTCTTGTCACCTGCGGCTCCGCCCGCATTTACTACATTTTATATCGTGTGCAAGCCTGACTCGCACTTGGCCGATTTTTTAGACCATGATATATAGTTAACTATAGTTCCATCCACTTAAACTGTATCTATTAAATAGCATTTTATCGCACAAATCTTCAATGCGATTCTTTAACTTGATATACATTTTTTTTTAATTTTTGAACCGATTTAAACAAAACTAACTCTAAATGTCAAGCGAAGCTTACTAAGTACTATTCATTAGTAAAGGTTGCATCCAAATCGGTTTAGCCGTTTCTGAGATTTGCGCACACAAAAGCATAGATAAACAGATAAACAGACAAAAATTTTAAAAATCATTGTTTTGGGTTCTAATACGTTAATAAAGGTCCTAAATAATACTTTTTCTCAAATATGTACCATATACAGGCAACGATCAGTAAAATTTTTATTATATATAAATATTTAATTTGCTCATTATAATGCAAATAGTAATGTACCCTCTTACAATTATTGGAAAATTTGTGTTGTGACCTAATCAAATATCAATTTGTTTGGATTGAACATTTAGGTGGCTATCCTTCTTGTCAGTTCTAAGCAAACCGTTAATAAAGACTGCTATAAGAACTCTACTGTGTATTAAACGATTCTTCAGTACGAATTTGACAAAATTGCTTTATATCTCGTTATATATTCTAGTCATGACCGGGTGCTGATGGAATGAACCAGTGACAGCTTATTAGAAAAACAAGTGAAGCAATGGTAATTTGACGTTGCTTCACATTTGGTCACGTTTAAGAATTGATCTGTTCGAACGTGTGAGATTATTGCATAAGTCTAAATTAACTGATCATAAACGAATTTCTACTGTAATATTTAATCACTTGCGTCACACACGATCGAAAGTAACTCATAAGATCAGAATTAGTATAAAATGCACAAAACACCAAAGTTGTATCTATTTTTTATAGTGATAACTAGTTATGTAAAGTTTATTGAGCTTTTGCAGCAACCTATTGCAGTAGAGGCTTGAAGGGCGAAACTTCAATTATATAAGCAGAAAAAAATATTTACCATATCTCTACGCATCCATAAAATATTTATCTTTTCTAATTGCTTCACACGACGCTGGCAGAACGACCAAAGGATTGCATCTAATCTTAGATCGGTGTTTCTACGTTAGCTTGTTAGTTTACGTTTCTTTTTTAAATCTGCAGTAACTTGAAGCAATAAAGAAACTATCTCTCCCTTACCTGATACTATATACTTGTCCATCGTCACCGGTGTAGGAATAACTACCTAGGGCTTCTACACCGTTGGTGGCTACTCCATTTTCTTCGGCGGCGATTCCATTCTCGGTTTCATACGCGTATAAATATTTTTCACCGTCATTTTCATTATCTTGTCGAAGAATAGCAGCGTTCCTTTCCAAGGCGGCTCTGGGACGCTCTGGACGCTCGTAGCTCCCAAAGGCGGCCATTTGTTTAGGATCTTCGTTGGTGAATCTACTGCCTTCATTTGCGTAGTCGTTGTTTTCTACCACACCGTTGTAATCATTCCCCTGATTCCTCAAATCATTGAAATTCAACGGGGATGACAATATGGGCGTTTGGAGAAATTCACCAGAGCCCCCTGAGGTCATAGCATATTCTGGCGGCAAGTAAGCCCGGTCCAGCTTTGCTCCATACGAGCAAGCGATGAAAGCGGCTAGAATTATCTGAAAAGGATTTATCAAAATGAAGATTAGAAAAGGTATTGACAAGCGAGAAATGGTTTCTCCCACGCTTAAATGTTCAGCAACTTAGTTCAAAGAGGAAATGCAATTAACGTCCTTGGCATCATGCCACAATGTATCATTCTCTTTATGATTTAAATTACTTAGATAATTTCTTTAAGTAAATTATTTAGCCTAAGCTAGTTCAGATATTGGTATTGAAACTGCTGAAAATGTAATGATAAAAAGCATTGCATTAATAACAATCAACATAGTATATTATGTCTATATTTGCGAACATTTTTATTAAAAACATAAATCTCATTTAGAATAATTCAATGTTTTACCAATTTCATCGCGGTTAATTTCTTCGGTTTGTCTCACTGATGTCCAAAAGGAAACTGATGCCATTACAGTTCTGTGTACAATATATATAGTGATGCTTCCATTGCATTATTGATCCACTTCAATATAGAAGACGCCAGCTTGTACCAAAAGTCGTGGTCGAGCGTTGCTTAATCAATACACATTACACTAGCAGGGGCGCCTAATTGTTGCGGACAATGTTATGCAAACAGTGATAATTGAAGGATCAAACCCAATAAGTAATCTGGCTTCAGTCTCTTGTAACATCGTATTATTGCCTAATTATTACATATGACAATCTAAGCAATTATCTAATTACAAGGTAAGCCTTTTCTTCTTTGATTAATGGCCCGTCTTAATAGTAGAAATTAAGTCTTGTATGACCTTTGCTGTTTTGCCAAATCTTTATCGTGTACTGTTGCATATTTCCAATTTTATCGCTAATTGCTCATTGGTAAGTCTTTAAAACTCTAAAATCGAAACGACCATTAGTGTTATTTTCCGGTTTCTAAACTATTTAATGTCCATAAGCCTTTCGAAGTTTACATCAACAAAAATATCAAAGACAGAATTAGCGCAGAGGTCAAAAATACCTCTAAAAAGGCTGATGGAATTATTATTTATTTAACCCTCGCATTACTACGTAGGTAATTGAAAAATCGCAAAGTATTAACCGTAGTGATATTTAATTGGCAGTTTCTTGCATAAACTCGTGAGTCGGCAAACAAAACATATTTTAATGACCGCATTTACCAAGTACAGACAATAATCCGAGGATATCTCATCTATTTCGACCTTGGGGCTAAAGCATTTCAATAATTTTTCTTTGTCGGATGATGTTTGCACTTAATGCTTGGTAAAATGTAAAGCTTTATGCTTATAAACGGCTTCGTAAGCGTAAGCTTTTTTTTTATGTGAAAAGTTGCCAAGCGAGCGGACGGTTCACCTGATGTCAAGTGAATACCGCCGCCCATGGACATCTGCTACACCCGAGGGTTGCAGATGCGTTGACAACCTTTTGAAAATCGGGCTCCGGCCACCTCACTCACCAGACGAAACGCGAAATAATCATACTTCCACTTTACGCCGGTCTTCTGTGGGGTTGTGGTACTTACCCGGATGGGCCTGCCCATTCGTGCAACAGCCGAGGCTGCTGCGTGGCACTACCACCGAACAGAAGCTTTTTCGAGAGTTCCTTAAATTTAGGTACACATAATCTTCGTGCACTTATAAATCTTTTTAGCGTTTAGTGTCTGTTTTGCGCTTGCATTTTGAAACAGTGTTCGCCGAAATGCTAAACGGTAGCTAAGTAGAGTGATGATGATGACAAATAACCTTGGTTTATATTAATTATATCTGCCGGTGATATTTAAATAACCGCCACACAATCGTAATATTTTTATAGATGTTCTCAAGATGTTACGCTGTTAGTAGCTAATGCTATTGCATTTTTGAGAACCCTCTTAAAAATGCAATAGTTTTAGCAGATGGCAAAATTTTCATCAAGTTATCGCTTGGACAATCTCCAATAAAAGGGTGCAATGCGCAGGATGTTACAGGGTTCAATCACGAGTAAGCAATTCATTTGTAAATCAAGAAATTATAAATAAGTTCATAATTATACCTCACACATTACGTAGTGTCTTTCATGGTCCCATGACCATCCTAAAAGCACGTAACGAATCATTTGATAAAAAACCGTACCGAAGTCTATCGTACAACACACTAATACGAGTAGCATTTGAATTGCTTACAACTTAAATAAGCGCTGTAATTAGCGAGATGATACAGATTCTCGTTTTAAATATTTAAAGGTCAGCACGGATTGATAACGGCTGTTACGGACGACGCTAAGTTACGAAAATGGCCTGCGGGGTCTAAATATTACGTTGACCTTCAAACATACTATACGTGGGGCTTAAGCGCTATTAATGAATGTTATTAGCGAATTATTTCGAGCACGTGATGTGTAAGCGCTGTAAAAGTTATATATATGAATACTCGTGTTCCAGTGCTGAATAACGACTTACTCTTTACAGGGTGTATTACTTATTTATTTGTTTATATTTTATGTAAAAAGTTGCCAAACGATCAGACGGTTCACCTGATGTTAAGTGAATACCGCCGCCCATGGACATCTGCTACATCCGAGAGTTACAGATGCCTTGACAACCTTTTGAAAATTAGGCTCCGGCTACCTCACTCACCATATGAAACGCGAAAGTATTTGTCATACTTTCACTTTACCCTGGTCTTCTGTGAGGTCGTGGTACTTACCCGGACGGGCCTGCCCATTCGTGCAACAGCCGAGGCTGCTGCGTGGCCCTACCACCGTTAAACTTAGCAATCATTCTCTTCATTTTAATATTTCTTAGTTAAATTTAAGTTTAATTTTAAATTCTTTGTGCTAGTCTTTGCTCTTAAGATGAAACTTAAAAATGTGTTGACAAAACTGTCGCAATATTTCCCGCCGTTGCCTTCCGGGTTACGGTAGACGCTCTAGCCTAAGCTTCGCGAGAAATAATGATTTCCGCCACGAGGATATCGACCGCGTGGCGAGAATTGGTTGTAAATAACAAAAATAATAATGAAACAAGTATCACTTTTAACAAAAAAAACCGACTTCAGTCAGATAATTAAAAACATTGTTAGTTAATACCTATAACATAATGATGACCCTCGAATTCTCTGGGATGTCATCATCAGATCCGGGTTTACTTATCATGGTACCACCCTTGGGATATCTCCTTTACAACAAAAAAAGAATCATCAAAAACAGTTCATAAACGATGAAGTTATCCGCGAACACACACAAAAAAATAAAAATATATACGGTCGAATTGAGAAACATCCTTCTTTTTTGAAGTCGGTTAAAAAGCTTTTCATCGCGATGTTTATATTCAACGGTACTAAGCCTTGTGAAAGAATGTACAATGAATTTACAGTTAATCCATTGTGATTACAATGGATTAACTGTAAATTCATTGTACTGTAACTTCTTTCCGTTCTATAATTTGTTTTATTCTTTCCGTTATTATAATTTACTTCTATCCGTTCAATTCACAAGCTCTAAGCAACTCAATGCAACGTTTTACGTCTGTCACTCTAAGCGTTCCATTAATCGAAAACGGCCACCGAACATACTTTTAATTGTTGTAGGTATCGCCGCCAATAACAAATAGAAATACTCGAAATCAATGCTGCCTCAAAGAAATTTTTATAACCATATTATTGTGTTTACTAACATCCTGACCATTTCTATTTGACTTTCATTGTGTCCATTGCTATAGTAAAAGCTTTAAAGTTATAAGCGAAAAAGTTTATAAGCGAACAAAAAAAAATGTAAGTATTTGTTGGGCTAAGGATGATTGTGTAACCGATTCTCACCGAGCCATGAGGCCAATTTATAATCTCAAAAATATCTTCAAAGTTTCAGTTTCAAAAACGATCCAATTAATTTGTGATTCTGCAAAAAGGAAAAGACTCCGCCGAGCAAACTAAGCCACGTAGTGGAAGCACTATGTTTTGCAGTAAAATTTCTTTACACACGTTTGACTTGGGGAGTAAGCTGGTGAATGCGTGACGAGAGCGTTACTAAAAGTGTGATCGGAGTTACGAAAAGTGTGATGCTAAGCGAACAATTGACTGGGAGCGAATGCCTCAGGCATTAAGTCCGCCTATACACAATGTATGTTTTTTGTGTAAAAGTTTAAATAAATAAATAAAAGATGATTTCTTTATTATTGAAGTAAGATCTCTTTACGCATGCTTGACTATTCTTTCTATGGTCTTCAAGAAAGCCCAGCTCATTGTGTTGCCCACACAGCATTAGTTACCTCCTTGGTACGTGCAAAAGTCAAGGCCGCTTGTTTAATTGACATATCAGAATGTGCGCATCACAAAACGATATCCATTACTTAAATACCCCAGACCTCCATTGTGCTCGGAGAATGCGTGATGCAACTCTCGTTTAGCCTTAATAGAGAACATCTTCTTTTAATGAAGCCTAAATTTCGTTGGTCTGTCCAAGTCGCTTTGCGGATAGCGCGTTGGCGTCGATTGCGATGGCAATGCATGTTCTTCTTAAATAACCTCTATTCTTATTTCCTTACTAGTATTATAAAGGCGAAAGTTTGTATGTATGGATGGATGTTTGTTACTCTTTCACGTAAATACTGCTGATTGGATTTTAATGAAACTTTACAATAATCTAGCTTTTACATCAAATTTTTTTTATGTGAGAAAGTGGCAAACGAGCTTGCGGTTCACCTGATGTTAAGTGATAACCGCCTGCCCATAGACATTTGCAACACCGGTAGGGTTGCAGATGCGGATACATCGGTCTTTCTGTCTGAATGTTACGCCTTCAGCCCATTCTACGCAGACGTAGTCGCGGGCAGCATATAGTATTACTATATACGCTAACGCATTAAGAGTCTGGATTATCCCTTTTAATTAGCATATTTAGACACCCTGTGATCAGTTATTGATGACTTTTCTTACTTGACTTGACTTAACTTAACGTAGCTTTGAAAAGTCACGTTATACACCTTCCATATTTCGAGAGTTTCTCTACATTTTAAACTTTAATCAAAATATTAATTCTTAATGAAGAAGAAGGAGAAGAAAATAAAATGATTATTTCTATATCTTAGTTGATAGCTTAAAAAAAATGATATACACACAGAATATAATCTTAAGTTAGTAAAAATTGTATTTAAAATTTTAGGTCTATGCATTTTAAAAAAAGATAAGAGATGTAAAATAAACGGAAAACAATAAAAGGCTGTCCTCGCCCGAGCAGGGACTTGAACCCTGGGCCCTTGGATTAAAAGTCCAATGCTCTACCAACTGAGCTACCCGGGCTTCTCTTACGTTTGTTCAAAATGGAAACGAGATTTAATGTACTGGGTAATGCTCTAAATGGTACCCGATGAGAACATGGAGATTGAACATCCTCATATACACATCATTGACGACGAATTTGGATGAACGTTTTATTTACTGTTTTTATCGCAAAAGTCACTTTTACTTCACGTCATTTTCCAGTGAGGCCATGTTTCTCCCTTAATTGAACATGTACATGGTTGCTTCCTAGCTGATCAAGCACTATCATGTACCAATTCTAATGATGGAGATCATTAGAGTTGTAATGTCAATCACCGGGCTAGAGACAAAAATATAAATAATTCAATTTTATTAAGGACATGTTTTTATCAAAGACGGGTGCAAACGAGTAAGCGATGTTAACTCATTCAACAGACGAATCACATCGATTTCACGCCAGTGTTTGTATCACTTCTATTGGAACTTCCCTGGTCGAGCCTGCACATTCGTGTCACAGCAGACTGCGTGCTCCTTCAATGCCTAAATGATCATCCAACCGAACATGAGCACGTAAAACTATATGTCACTTTATGTTCATGCGCTTAGAATTTGATTACTTTGAGCATTTGCAAGAGTATCCCAAACAGCTCAGTTTGTGCATTGGACATTTAGCAAAAGGGTCTCAGGTTCAAGTCCTTGTGCGGGCAGCATAATTTTTTAGACAGGGTGCGTGGTTAATGACCGATAATGAATTACGACTTTTTTCACTTCAAAAGTAGTTTTCTTATGAGATTCATGAAAGTTGGAGAAGATTTTTAAACAATACTAGCGGATTCATATAAAAGACAGACGTTATCCTGTACACCAATCCTATTTTTAAATAAGAATAAGAATCTAAACTATTCTCGAATCCACTTGAACACGTACAAAAAAATTCATAAAAATCAGTCCGTGCGTTTAGGAGAAGTTTAGCCACATAGACGCGAAAAATATATATATATACTAGCGGACGTTGCCCTGTAAACACGACTGAAACCCGAAAACAACTTAGTAATAAAAATAAATAAAAATGTAGTGGACCGAATTCTAAATCAAAACCATTCTCGAATCGACCTGAACACACACAAAAAATATCAATAAAATCGGTCCAGCCGCTTAGAATATTAAATATTAGCCGCTTAGACTTTTGAATATTAAATTATTATAAACGAATACAGAAGAATTATATTAAAGATACAGATTAGAGCTGTATAAGTCTAAAGCCCGGAGCTTGGTGCGTCGAAATATCTGGCAATCGTACCCAACTTTCATGCAATTTTCGAATAATAATTCTGGCATTTGAACGGCGGCTGCGTGATAAAATCGGCTGCCTTTACTCATCAGCCTAATATTGAACTTAACGCTGACCCTAGATCTAGGCAGGCTAGGTTAACGCAATCCCCGATTTAAGGCTGACGTAAACGTTGCTCCGCCAATAAACACGTTTACTGCCGTGAATAAGGCTGATTTCACGCCACTGTATCCTTTGAAATTCTTTGTAATTATTCTCTCTTAATCTTATTCATCCCTTTTGCTACAGTGTAAAGCAAAATGTAAATATTACGTGGGGATGAGTATGAAATGTGACACTATGGTTGTAAGGAATAAGGAAAAACATTGCAATAAGTTTTCAAATGCACCGATGCCACACTTTATGTTAAAAGGAATAACTTGTTTTGAAAAAAAAAATAAAAATATAAATATAAATATAAAAAGTTAAAATTTGAAGAAATAATAGACGAATAGTTTATAGACGCTGTGCGAATCGAACCCACGTGTTAAGGAATCGCGGCGAAAAGCTTTTCTTCATTATCACATTGATGAAAATCTCATCATTACATTGTTTTTTCACATTCTAGGCAATGCTTGATGCAGCTAATATTTATATAAATGTATAATGTGGGCATAAACCCACAACACAAAAATGAATAACGTTTGGTGCAACGATAATTCGAACGAGAGATGTCGCCTTTGATATTGAAAATAAATTTCATATTAAGTTTATATAGTGCTTATCTCTGCATTTAAAATGAAACATAAAATTACTAAAAAAATATTGTATGCCATTTGTACCGTCAATTTTAATAGAAGTATCACATCCAATACAGGGTATGAGATTAAATTAAATTCGTAGTATCCTTATAAAGAAGCCCTGAATATCATACAGTATAATAACAAAATGTATTAATATGAAACTTAAAAATTAGACAGCGATATTTGCACGAAAAATTTTGAAGGTAGACAGTAGAAATATGTGGCTTCCCACAGGGTAGGACCGGTGAATTTATAAATCTATACGAAACAAAAAAGTTACCCTTTGGGACGAGTCATTAATTTCGGTCCTAACAAAGTTCGCTGAAACTTGAATAGAAGGGAACTTATGTACAAGTAACTTATATTATTTTAGTCAATTATTGTTTCTAAATGGTTTAACTCAAGCATCACAAAATAAAATTTACCAAAGCTAAGTTTACGATCCTCTCAGAATTATTGATCGATATAATAGCAGTGCGTGAAATATTTTAAATAGGATCGTATATGAACCTTCAGACGGGGAGTTGCCAAACTTTAATTACTCTTAATTTAACGCCGCATCGTTGGTAACGAAACCAGCAGAAATCTACTCAATTAGAAAATCAACGGAACTCTGAACTGATAATCTTTGCGATCGTATTTCTTTAATTGGGTGTTGATTATAATCAGCTCACTACTAATTGAACATTTATTGATGTTGTTTCAAAGGGAGAACAACTAAGTGGAGAGCAAGTGCTTCATCTGGCAGTAACAACACCCAAGGACAGTTGCAACATCAGATATGTTGTGCGAAAATACGCAATTCCACTCACGAGTACTGGCGTAGTACTGCCCCAGTCGGTCTGGCCTGTTTGTGCAGATGACATATTAGCTGTTGTTGCTCTACCAAGTATGATATTTATTAAGTGTATGTATATCCAAACTGCTATAAACAATAACGTTATGGCTCCATGATATAAAATATTAATGTAAAAATTACTGAAAGAAACTGCACTTGAAACGGCAATTGAAAATATCTTATATTTTAAAAATAATCTAGGACCGAGAAATCTTAAACTCTTTTCACCGATTGAGAAATGGGCTGTAAATACTAGCTGTAGCAATGGAAATATATAATTAAATTCCAGTTTTTATCTGCAAAAACTTTTGAAATGACCGGTGTGAATTATAACGATATCTTTAATAACCAAAGTGCCTTAGTGCGCTGAGTACCACAGTAGTGTTTTTAAATATTTAAATCACATATTGTACTTGTAAATACTAAGCATCATATATTTTATTCTTTCGTGATGACTTAAGTACATTACAATATAATGTTAAATCAATCGCTAGCTAAAATTATCAAAACCAATCGTATTGGTAAAACGTAAATTATATATCTGACTTACAACCATTCCGTAGCTAGCACCAAACATTGCTCAACTGGTTGTGCGATTGTCTCGACCCATATAGTTCAGTTACGCAATATAACGGATGTCTCGAAGAGGGATGCGGATTCACAAAAAGGTCAGGTTATTTTAATAGCTTTTGTCCTACATAAGGGCGCTCACAATGCATGCCAAAAGTCAAGGCTTTAACGACGGTCGTCTATTATCACGTGTATACGACATTTTAGTTAAACTATTTCATATGATTTATGCAATACGAAAACTGTAAACGTTTTTAATTGATTGTAAAAAACTATTTCAGAAATTTAAACTTTTGTATTTTAAGCCTTTTGTAGTTTTTTTTTTTTTATGGGAAAAGTTGACAAGCGAGCAGGCGGTTCACCTGATGTTAAATGAATACCGCCGCCCATGGACATCTGCTACACCCGAGGGTTGCAGATGCGTTGACAACCTTTTGAAAATTGGGCTCCGGCCACCTCACTCACCAAACGAAACGCGAAAGTATTAAAGTCATACTTCCACTTTACGCTGGTCTTCTGTGAGTCGTGGTACATACCCGGATGAGCCTGCCCATTAGTGCAACAGCCGAAGCTGCTGAGGGCCCTACCACAGTTAAAGTTTAGTTACTTGTACCTGATATAATATATCATACAATACGAAACTGACACAACACATCTCCGCTTTTTTAGTAAAGCTTTAGTCCTTCTGTAGGTACTCGTAAAGTATGAGGATAAATTAGAAAAGCTTTTAAAAAATGTATCCGTACAATTGGCAATCAATCCAAATAGAAATTCTCTGAGTATATTTTGATGTGCGATTGAAAAAGAGGTTTTTATGTAATTCATTCTTAATTCCTAAACATTACTGAAATGCGTCAAGTGAAAACTTCTGTTTTAGACAAGTTGAATTGTACTCTCCTTATAAATGTCTCCTTGTAAACTTCAGTCTAATGTTATTAATTTTTTCAATGAGTTCGAATGAGTATTCAAATGAAACAAAGAAACACTTTTGCTAAATTTATTCTTGTTAAAAATAACACAGTCGATATCGTGTCATGGTAAATTCATATACTCGTAAATTTTTACAGTTCTACATTTACATGCATGTTACTCATTTTTTTTTACTTTTCTAATGCCAACACAAACTTATCCTAAAATTGCACTACTCTCCTTTGGTCTCAATACTTGTATCCTTCCTCGGGGCTGAAGCTCGGAGGTTGGCGAGGACCACCAAAGGTTTGACCACCACTCACTTTGCTTGGTGCTCCAAAACCGGAAGTATGGGTTTGAGAGACTTGTTGACTAGTTTGCGTGCCAGGCTTGTCATACTGATATCCAGAGGAATCGCCTGCGGGACCTCCGCTAGAACCAAATGAAGCACCATTCTGTCCGAACGCTGTTGAAGGTGTGTTGCCAGGACGGATTTGTGATGGGAAACCATTGCTTGAAGGCCCAGATCCCGGCTCATATCCGCCAGGCCTATATTGTGATGCCTGTCCTATATTTGTATTCGTAGATCCAAAAGATGGTCGACTGGAACCAGATTGGGGTCCGGAGGGGAAACTGTTACCATTAGGTTTATATTGGGAGGCACCTTGACCATTTGTACCTAAGCCAAGGGAAGCTTGATTTGAACTTGGTCCAAATTGTGTATTGGGTTGTTGAAGGTTAGGGCTGCTTTGTGTACCACCTAGAGGTGAAGAACCTTGTCCAGGGCGATTAGTTCTGGTTTGAAACGAAGATCCCTGAGGACGACTGTAGTCGTATCCATCTTTATGGGACGATGATGATTGACTGATGCCAGTACTACTGCTTTGAGGGCCGAACTGTGTGCCAAAGGCCCCTTGACCTTGTGCACCAGTGGTTTGCCCGAAGCCTCCTTGCCCTTTTGATGCTGCAGCCTGTCCAAAGATACCCTGACCTTGTTTCCCAGTAGTCGATCCAAAAGTACCCTGTGCTTGCGCTCCAGTAACCTGACTAAACGCGCCCTGTCCCTTGGATGCAGCATTCTGTCCAAAAACACTCTGTCCTTGAGGCCTAGCAGGTTGCCCAAAAGCACCTTGCCCTTGTGGTCTACTTGTCTGCCCAAATGCGTTCTGTCCTTGAGAGGAACCAGTAATTTGTCCGAAGGCACCTTGTCCTTGAGATCCAGTTACTTGACCATATGCATTTGGCCCTTGCAAAACTGAATTTTGACCAAATGTACCCTGACCTAGTCCAAAACCTCCCTGTCCTTGCGATCCTGCACTTTGGCTGTAGGCACCCTGTCCTTGTGAACCAGATGTCTGTCCAAAGGCACCCTGGCCTTTAGATGCAGCTGTTTGTCCGAAAGCTCCCTGTCCCTGTGATCCAGTACTCTGGCCATAGGCACCCTGTCCTTGAGAACCAGACGTCTGTCCGTAGGCACCTTGACCTTTAGATGCAGCAGTTTGTCCAAAAGCTCCCTGTCCTTGCGATCCTGCAGTTTGGCTGTAGGCACCCTGTCCTTGAGAACCAGACGTCTGTCCGAAGGCACCCTGGCCTTTAGATGCAGCAGTTTGTCCGAAAGCTCCCTGTCCCTGTGATTCAGTACTCTGGCCGTAGACACCTTGTCCTTGAGAACCAGACGTCTGTCCGAAGGCACCTTGACCTTTAGATGCAGCAGTTTGTCCAAAAGCTCCCTGTCCTTGCGATCCTGCAGTTTGGCTGTAGGCACCCTGTCCTTGTGAACCAGACGTCTGTCCAAAGGCACCCTGGCCTTTAGATGCAGCAGTTTGTCCGAAAGCTCCCTGTCCCTGTGATCCAGTACTCTGGCCGTAGGCACCCTGTCCTTGAGAACCAGACGTCTGTCCGAATGCACCCTGGCCTTTAGATGCAGCAGTTTGTCCGAAAGCTCCCTGTCCCTGTGATCCAGTACTCTGGCCGTAGGCACCCTGTCCTTGAGAACCAAACGTCTGTCCGAAGGCACCTTGACCTTTAGATGCAGCAGTTTGTCCAAAAGCTCCCTGTCCTTGTGATCCTGCACTTTGGCTGTAGGCACCCTGTCCTTGTGAACCAGACGTCTGTCCAAAGGCACCTTGGCCTTTAGATGCAGCAGTTTGTCCGAAAGCTCCCTGTCCCTGTGATCCAGTACTCTGGCCGTAGGCACCCTGTCCTTGAGAACCAGACGTCTGTCCGAATGCACCCTGGCCTTTCGATGCAGCAGTTTGTCTAAAAGCTTGTCCTTGCTGTTGAAGTGCATTACCTTTACCGTATCCTTGTTGACCGCTTTGGCCACGTTGTCCTTGAAAATCTTTTGAGCCTCCAGATTCATACTCATCCGGACGATATGCGCCTATTAAAGAAATAAAATATATAGATAAAATGAACAGAGCAATTCTTAGATATTCATACGATGTTTTGTTTTCATGTGTAAACGAATTTAGGCAAATAAAACATTTAGTTAATGAGCTATAAAAATTATTCAAAACCAAAATAGATAAACATTTTCAAATTTAGTGCGTATTCTAAAAAACAATTATTTTAAATTAAAATTGTACTTGCGAAGGAAAATCAAATCTTATTTAAAATCCTGATTTCTTACAAGCCCATTGAACGAACACTTCGTAAAGAAATCTGTATGTCAGATAACTAATACAGTAAATGAACATACAAAAGTATCTTAGATTTTTTGAGAAGTTCAACAAATATGTAATATCATTACGAGAACATTATTCTTGTCTTATTTTATATATTTTGTAAATAACAATGTATATCAAACTTACAATGATTGCAAACAAGTCGTAAAAACAATTCTTTTTCTTCGAAATTTTAGCCTGCAAAGAAGATAAGAAATATGCGATATTACTGTACCTTCTTGGGTCCCAGCAGCGGCTGCTCGTGCGTTTTCTTCTATAGACTTCAGTATTTCTTCAGGGATTGGGGGAGGAGTAGGTAAATGGTCACCTTGGGGCTGGAAGCCGTTTTCGTCGGCAGTATATGTCACACTAATCTTTTCGCCGTCGTCCGATGTATATGAGAATCCGCCTTGAGCCTTTACTCCGTTCGTGGCAACGCCAGTCTCCTCAGCCGATATACCGTTTGAGGTTTCAAAACTGTAGGAATATGAATCACCGTCATTTTTATTTTCGTATCTCAGAATCTCCGCATTTCTTTCGGCGTCACTTTGGGCCCGTTGAGATTGATACGGTTGAACGGTGAACGTACTGGACTGAATTCCGGATTGGCCGAACGAAGAGGTTTGTTTGAAGGCGTTTTGTGCTGTTTGCCCATAGCCAGCTCCCGAACCTTGACTTGGTGCGGTTACTGATGGTTGGCCAAAGGTAGCGGCGTTCTGTCCAAATGTTGACGTCTTCGAGCCGGGACCTGAAGATGTACCGAATTCACTTTGTCCAATGCTAGCTCCAGTCGATTGGGACGTCTGCCCAAAACTTGCAGATTGCCCAAAGCCTGGTGCCTTTAGACCTGACTCACTTCCAGATGCTCCAGTTGCTAAGCCGAGTGGGGTTGTCAAAGATCCTGGGCTTCCACCAGAACTTGCTGCATCAACCGGCGGTAAATAACTCCGATCTAATTTTTCAGCACAGCCGTAGGCTATGATGGATAATAGTATAAGCTGTAAAATAACAAACAGTATATTCATAAAAATTTTATTATGAAACTTTTAAAGCTCCGATGCCATCAAGCCGTTTTTAATTATTTTTGTGAATTTTATTTTTCTCTCCATGTCTACATAAAAAACTAAATGTCAAACTATATAAAATTTAATCGTTTTATGCATCATTTATGATAATTTAAATTATAAACATTAAAATAATTAATTTTACAAAAAAATTATCAACGAAACATTAAGTAGGAGGCTAATTTCATAATTGAAGAAAGTAAAAAAAAATTGCGAATGACACCAAAATTTATGACAATAACAGCACTTAATTCATCGTTTGCTTGCATTAATTAAAATATCCCAAATTCACTTATTACCAGCTTCATTTTAAGCTGTACACGTTGCGATGGACGGACTGCGAATGTGCCGCATAACTGAAACTCATCCCATATTTATATCGCAGAAAATTCGTTCACCTCACTTCGTTACCTAAAACCTTACTCACGGTCCTAACCTTTGACTGCTTGAAGATTCTTAGGTCTGCTTGTGAGTGTGCGTTTTGCCTTGCTTAATTTTCCAAACGATATCGCGTTTACACTAATTACCGTTCTATTAGCATGCATGTGTGAGTGAAACTTGTGTCTCCATTTATTCACTTATTTTTTCTTTTTCAAGGTGTTCCTGAAATCTTTTTTTATTATTCTTTTGCTTCCAATCATACTTGACGACACCTTGTTAAGTTTATAGTTTTTAAATATATATATTATAGTAACATTTGTGCTAGTTGGAATACTGATAATGCTAGTAAATCAATAAAATACGTATTTGCGTACGTTTTTTTTTTTGAGTACAGTAATAATACATTCTTCAAGTTAATCTTAAATTTTAACAATAATCTCATATCACATTTAAATACTCTACTTACATACATTTTCCATTATAAGAATAATTATTCTCTATTCTCCACAATATTTCAAGTAAAAAATTATCGCAAGCTCACATTTAAATAAATAAAAATTTTATAACTTAAGTGATATTGATTTTGTTCAGTTTTATTGACGTCAAATTTAATGCTTCGCAGGCTTATAAACAGTTTAGGATTATAAACCTCAAATTCTTTGGTGTTTTAATTTTTTTAGTAGTTGGGAACTTACATATAATCTGATACTAGTAGCTACTTACATTCAGGAGTTTTCAGTTAAGTTCGATTTTATAACTTGTTAATGATCTAAAATGTGAATGTTTGTATATAAATTGTATATAAAAAAAAAACTTATTTTATTCAACACTTCCCTTGTTCTTTGCTCGGCTTTGCTCATATAGTTTTTGTGTAAAATCACCGAATGCGACCTTTGACCAAACTGGGTGGACAGAGCCTAGGTTTTAGAATTTCTATAACGGCGTGAATGCAGCTGCTGAGCTAACCGTTACATGGAATGCCTCGTGACCAGTGATAGCATGTTCTCATTAGCTAAGGGAAGTTGACAAGGAGTGAGTGCCTTGAGTTTGCGTGATATGCTTTTGCAATGTATAAGTTTATTAAGTGTACGGATCGATTCTCGTACATTGTGTTTTATAATAAATGTGTTGTGTAATTAATAATGATATAAGTATATAAATAATAAAATGTGAGAAGGGTCAAGTAGGCCATGAACTGTTTCCTTTTATAACTAGTACCAATTCACGATTAAGAATAAAAAAAAAAACTGGAGCAATTCTGAATATGAGTAATCAGGTGAAATCAGTTTTTAGATGCGTCATTCCAGAAATCCCTACCACAGTTGTAACAAACCAAAATATAATCTCACAAACTTGTTGAAAAATCTCCAAGCATCATTGTGTTACTAGTAGCTATTCCAAATATCCAAAGAAGTAAAATTGGTTTACTGTTATAAAGATAGATATGTATAGCGCAAAATCTTACAATATCACCTGTAACTTGTAATTCAACGGAATGACTGTCTAATCCATCCAATATTATTATTAAGTTTTCAGTTAATTCTAATATGTATGATATGGTATATATCATATGTTACATTAGTCCACGTGAAAATAGGTATAAATATCAACTCTTAGCATATTCGTTTAAGGTTTAAATCCGCAAATATAATCCCAAATAAAATCGGTTAGAGTTTAAACTAAGCTAGAGTAGTAAAGGTACGTCTCGCTTTAGTTGTGTTGCAATTGTCTATGTTTGCTTTGGATTAATTTTTTACGGTCGTCACGACTTCGTCGCCGCTTCTTGGTCAAAATCAATGTGCCGATGACGGGAGACGTTACGGGTCATACGCTTCACGAGTTCGTGAGAGCACAGACGAGCGTAAATTTCGCAATGTGACGTCATCTCCATGACTCCCTTTTAAAAGTAGGGGAGGAAGTTTTAGAACGATTTTCTGCCAACTGAATAGGCACACAGCGAAATGTGGGATCCAAGCCGAACCGAACACTTCTTTATGTATATATAATTCTTCTGTGATACCGATTTCGATCAAAACAAATCAAATCATTTATTCATAGAAGTAAGAAATTTACATTTCACTTATCGTTAGTTTTAATTTTTTCCGTAATCCCAGTCTAACAGAACCCCAACGAATGTAACAAAAAGCCGAAACAGTATCACATTACAAATTCTGTTTTAGCGAGGTTTTCTCAGACATTCCGATGAGTATCCGTTCGATGAACCACCACGGAAGACAATCAGCATTTGTTTTTTCCGTAATCTCGGTCTAAGAGAACCCAAACGAATCTAAAAAGAAGCCGAAACAGTATAACATTACAAAAAGAACGCTTTGAGTCGAAATGATAGAATAGCAATCATCGACTTTTATTAGTTATTACTATGGATAGCTTTTTTATTAGTTATCGTTTTTTATATTAGTTATGCGTATCAATGACTGATAAATATCATCAGATAAGCCGCATGCTCGTTTCACGATGAAAGTGGCCACGGTGATGGGAATAATTAAGCTGCCTAATATCAAGACGGCTTCCTCACAAGCCTTCTCTCAACTTTTACAGTCTCAATCAATGAACATATAACTATAACGTACACTAACGCCCGGTTTCTGAAACACTGACCATCGTAGATGTCAACTAATCAGCCGTCAAATGGCTTTTCAAATTTCATTTTAGTTGCCAAAACGACGGTTAAACTCTCTGAATTGACCAGAATGATCTTCTAATGATCAGAACGATCAATCCAAAGAGTTTAACCATCCTTTTGGCAACTAAAATGAAATTTGAAAACCATTTGACAGCTGATTAGTTGACATCTACGATGATCAGTGTTTCAGAAACCGGCCGTCAGTCGCACTAATGATTATCGGGTCTGCGGGAGAATGGTGTCCTCGGAATGCTTAAGCGATATTATCAGGAACGCAGATGAAAAGGATTCGTGGAGGTGACGTCATCCCATATTAGTAACAGATATTAACGAGATCGATGCGAACGGAAATAGTCACTGGATGCCTTTTTTGTTTTCTGATTGAAAATTAAATAGCGTAAGCGATAGTTAGGACATCGAACTCGCATTCGAAGATCTTTGATTGGACTCCCGGGGCAGAGAAAAAAAGGTGGGAAGTGTAAAAATTTCTACTCACTCGCATTTTAACCGACTTCAAAAAAGGAGGTTCTCAATTCGACTGCATTTTTTTATGTTTGTTACCTCATAACTTTGGTCCGAGTGAACCGATTTAGATGATTCTTTTTTTATTTGATAACTGGTCCTTCCCATAAGGTCCCATATTAATTTCATTGGTATTGGATCTTGGGCTCCGGAGATACTTAGCGAAATCCTGAAAATCAATTATAAAATGAAAACAAAGCGAGATATTCGATGTCGGTTTTGTTTTTCGTTTAAAAAATGGACCTGTTTCCTACGGTATGACGATAGGCATATTGTCTATCATTTCATGGGACCATCCAAGTTCAGTGAAATATGGATTAACTATATCTGCGTAACCTGTTAAGGTTATATTTTTATATTATAAATCCTTACTAATATTACAAAGGCGAAAATTTTTATGTATGGATGGATGTTTGTTACTCTTTCACGCAAATACTACTGGATGGATTTTAATGAGACTTTACAATAATATAGTTTGTACATCAGAATAACACATAGGCTATAATTTATATACATATTTTTAGTATATCTGTCTTTCTGTTTGAATGTTACGCCTTCAGCCTATTCTACGCAGACGTAAGTTATATGGTGCAGAGTATAAATGGTTCCATATTAAATATTTAATAATAAATACGGCTAGAGTCGCTTGGCGTTTATACGTGACATAAATGGGGATAAGTGTACCCGTCATGCTTGTGTTTTAATGAGCTTGGTGAAAAGTGACTAGTTCTGACTGTGCCTATACAAGAGTTAAGGACACGACAGCTTGCTATTAGTGTTAAATGGTTACCGGTTAATCTGATGTGTAGAACGACATCTTTGAGATACTGGCTTAGATTTGGACTAGATTAGAGGTAGATATTATTTATATCTAATATATACAACTATGGTGTCACGGTGTTTATAATTGAACTCCTCCGAAACGGCTCGACCGATTTTCGTGAAATTTTGTGTGCATATCGGCCAGGATAGAAAATCGGACAAAATCTATTTTTCATCCCCATGAGTGTTAAGGGTGGTCCACCCCAAACATTTTTTTCTACCCTACAAATAATTTTTATGGCAAAACAACGTTTGCCGGGTCAGCTAGTAAATTTATATAAATATACAAGCGATAAGTTTGTTTGAAGGTTTAGTTCACTTTAAAAAGAGGTTTGAATACCTAAACTTATTATTGACTTTTTACTAATAATCTTTACGAAATTAAAGCGACGCTACATATTTAATTATAGTTTTATAACCAAAAAAAGGTTTTTAGGTAAAAGCTTGAACGTGTCTTGTGTATTGAAACTCACGAAAATAAGTTAACTTTGAATTCAATCGCATTTTCTCTTGATCAGTCTAAAAATTTTTCGTCGCATTAAAAAGTCATTTACAAAGATGACAACAATAATAACAAATGAATATCCCCCCCCAAAATAATAATAATAATATTTGTTTATTCACTCAACTAATTTTACATAATAACAATACTTAAATGTTAAAAGAGCTTTCAAAGTATTCTTATTTATTTAATAAGGCTATCCTGCTCTGTGTGGTGACCCATTATTTATAAATATATACAAAGATACCAACTTATTCTTATAGTCTTATTAGTGTGTTTTGTAAAGTTTAGCCCTTAACTCGTCTTCTCTGACTGATTGGATAGTAGGTCACAGTATCACCCGAAGCTCCTGCAGTTATGTTACCTCTTTAACAGAATAAACATTGAACGATGCTGATAGATACTTTATTTACGTTGCAGCTACACGTATTAAGTGACTCAGCGTCGAAGAGGTTCTGCAGTACGTTTATTTTATGCGCAAATTGATTATTACCATCTCGAAAATCATGAATAATATTTAACTGTCATTGATATGATCACCCTTCACAGCCTTGCACATTTTATCTCTTTTATGGAAATGAACGCTTATTGAAGCTCTAAGAAAGTTTTTAAGTTGTTGTAAGTGACCCTGTTTTATAATACCATTGCCTATCCTGCTCTGTGTTATGACTCAG